CATTCTAGTTGTGGAGCTAGGGAAGGCGATATACTTGTGAGCACCGTGTAGTCACTCGATATAAAATACATATTATGCTGCCTCTCTTCAAGGTGATGGTATTTTCCTTCATCACATGTTTTCTGAACATGCTCAGTGAGCAGAGTTGGGGGTCTATTCTAAACATGGCAGGCTGAAGTACACAGCGGTGTGAGCAGGCAGGCGAGGATCTAGATTTGGCAAGTGAACCAGTTGGTCTAAAACTTAGAACATGTGATAGAGAATAGTGTGAAATAAGGAAGAAAGACAGACCGTCTCGAATGCTAAGAAGTCTGGGTTTTATTTAAAAGGAAAGGGTGGAACCAATGAATGTTTCTGAGTGGAAGGGGCATGATTAGAATTAGGAAGATCACAGTGGTTGTGGTGTTAAGGATGAATTAATGGGGTGATTATTAAACTTGTTCAGATAAAAAGATTTAAAAAATCATCTCATCTGAAAAAGATTTGGGGGTCCCAGTGCACTGTGAGCTCAATACGCATCAACAGTATGATCTGACAGCCATGACGCTCAGGGCTAAGGACTTGATAACCCTGTTGTATTTTGCCCAGAACGGACCTCATCTACAGTACAAGATGTTGGTGCCACATTTTAGAAAAGACATTAATAAGCTACAGTACATCTAGAGGAAGGCAACGAGACCCATAAAGACATTGGAAATTATGCAATAGAAGAACCAACTGAAGAAACTAGAAATGTTTAGCTTTAAGAAGAGAAGGTCAAGAGGAAATGCAATAGATAGCTGTCTTGAAATACTTTAAAGGTTTTCACATAGAAGAGGAATTCTTGTTTTCTTGGCCCCAGGAGGCATAATGACTTGGGGCAAAGGGCAGAAGTTCCAAGGAAGCAGACTTTAGATCACGATCCACTTCTTCACAAGCAGAGGCCCCCAAAATAGAAAAGGCTGGCTCACAACCAAAGACCACATCACTGGGTGACTATTTGTTAGGGATGTTGCAAAAAGATGCCAGCTCGGGAGCCGTCAAGACCAGGGGAGTACAAGGTCCTGTCAAACTGTTAAGAGTACATGATGAGAAGAGAGAGATTACACAGAAACTTAAAATCACAGCTGGGCTTCTTGGAGGCTTCTGGAGGTCAGAATGAGGCAAGGGCAGGGATAAGTGACTTAGGTTCCAGAACAGGGCCTGAGCTGGGTCCAGGCCTTCATGGTTGGTGGCCCTTGGCAGCTTCAATTTCAACTATTTTTTTGTGTGTGTTTAAAATCCTTTACATGTTGCAATTTAATTTGACGACCCCTGGGTCTTGTTTGGCACTGTCTTATTTCCAAAGTTTCTCTCCAAATTGAATATCGGAATTTTCATATTATTTTTTCTTCCATGTGCATTTCATTTTTATAAACTTTCTTTTTTAAAAAAGTCTCTTCAGTTCTTACTTTCACTATTTCTGTTCAATTTGGTTACTGGCCATTCCCTATTTAGAATAAATAGCATTAATGTGCCTTCAGTCTCTCCTCCAAATCACTAGTAACAATGTTGAACAGTATTAGACCTAACAGTATCCTCTACAATAAGTCCTCAGGCAACTTCCCCTAAATCAACGTACTCGGTTACCTTCGGGAGTTTCAGTTCATGTCCTTGGGGTTCCTTTCCAAAGAAAAGTGACCAGTTTTTCAAGTCAAATCGTACATGACATTACACACAAAACCTTGTCAAGGCTCAGTGATATTGGGATACAATTTCATGATTCCTACAATCACAAAATTTGCACAAAATCTGAAAAAAAAATTGTTAGATTTATCTGAAATTATTATTGCCACCCTCTCAGTGAATATATTGTTTTCAGATTTTTTTTTAGCTAAGTTTACACATTTTCATGATTAATGCTTGTTTCATTCTAATGGCCAGTATTGGATTTCTAGGTTACTACATTTTTCCATAGCATCAGAGGATCGTATATTTAGAGCTTGATAGTATGTTAGAGGTCATCTACTTCTTTTCACAAACAAGGAAACTGAGGCACAATAAGGTTAAGATACTTGCCCAAGGTCACCTGTGTGGTAACAAAGCGAGGATTTGAACCCAAGTCCTCTGACTCCCAAGGCCATTGCTAATTCTACTGAATCACAGTTATAGGAGGATAAACTCTACCTCTAGCTGGAAGGGACCCAAGAAACCATCTAGTCCAACCCTGTCATTTTATAAATGAAGAATCTAAAGGCCAAGGAGGTAAAATGTCTGCAATGCCATGCCAAAAGCCATATAGTTAACATGTGATAATACTGGGATTTGAACCCAGGCCCTCTGGCTCCAAATTCAGTGCCCTTTCCAACAATTCAATTTAATAAACTTTAATTAAGCACCTACTGTAAGGATGAGTGCAGAAATGAAACAATCCCTGCCTTCGAGGCACCTACATGCTACTTGTAGGGATATTTGGGAAAATATACCCAGATAAGTCCACACAAAACAAGGTACAATGCTACCACTCATTCAAAATGGCACCAGATTCTAATTAAAGAATCTAATTCTAATTAAAGTGTTCTGATAGGCTATGTTTCTGAGAGGGGAGCATACATACCATGTTTAGAATATGCTTCCCCCTCAAGGCCCAGTCAAGTCCTCTCCTGGTCCCTCTCTTCGGAAGGCTCAGGTCATCCTGTTTAACTTTTCTATGACCATCATCCCACATGAATTTCTAGTTACTCATGTACATGGCCCATTCCCCTACAAGACAGAATGCTCCTTGAGGGGCCTACTGTTCTGCTTTTCATCTCTGAGCTCACGGTGTTGAGCCCAGGGCTTTGAATGTTGTTGGCACTCGATAAACATGTATTAAATTAAAATGAAGTTGCTTTGAGTTGTGTATAAAAAAGAATTACACAAAGTCCCTTCCCCTCCACCACAATGAGACCACATCTGTCATACCTATTCATTTTATGCCCATTTTTTTTGTGTGTGTCAGAAGATAATGATGATAAATTGGAGGAAGTGCAAAGAAAAGTAATGTTTTTAAAAAATGCATTTTCTCATCCTTTCCTCCAAGTCCCAGGGGAAGAGATATTTCTGCTCCATTCAAAGACTAACTCTTCTACCTGTGCCAAAAACTTAGCTTTTCCTGGTTCCCAAAGGACCTAATATCCATGTTTATTTCTTCTCTCCCCACCAGCATGGCATAGATCTTGGTTTGAATCACTTAACTAAAATATCAAAAACAGAAAGGGGAGGAAGACTTTTTAGAAACTTTTTTTATCAAGCCACCCATAGTTTCTCCATTATTCCACAGTGACTCTGGGGAAATAGGGGCTTCATTACATTCATCCTGGCTCCCAACTGAGTGGAGAGCACTCCGGGCCCCCTCACACTCTAAATTTATTGCCCATGCTTATTAGTGTTTAATCTCTCCTCCAACTGGGCAGGAAGACGTTCCTTGTCTGGGTCTCCCACACAGCCGGTTGGAGTGGTCTGGCTTCAGACTGGAGGGTGCCTCTGGAGCAAATTTCCCCTAAAAGAAACCCCACTTTTGGTTCCTTAAACTCTCCCCCATTAATTAGTAAGATATTTTCAGGCTGCCTGGTCTTTATTAAAGTAACTGTGGGTCTAGGGCAGGAAAAAAATTCTTTTTTCCTAATCCCCTCCCCAAGCCAGAAGTCACAGGGTCCTTGAATACCAATTTTACAGACATAATTTCTTTACATCCATAAATTAATATAATAGGAGATATTAGAACTATAGAACTAACATGGTGAGAGGAGCATTACAGTGATCTCAGCTACTCTGGCTACAGAGTGGCTCATGTATCTCTTCAGCTGGTAGAAAAAAGTCATAACTCAGACAGGATGATGTAAAAGATGTTACTAGAATTTCTACTCTATCTACAGCCATGACTAGAAACAACTGAGCTTGGCACCTGTTGGCAAAAATGATTACTTGAAATGGGAAGGTGACAGATGGACTACTTCCTCTGGGGCCCCAGTCCAGGTGAGCCCCATCATGGGCTGCACCCTATGCTCTGCCTGTCAACTGAAGTGCCCCAGTGCCAAATATTCTAATTATGCCAATGTCTGTAGAAAATAATACTAATGATTCATACATCTATAGAGCTCTAAGGATTACAAAGCACTTTTCTCATAACAACCCAGGAAGTGAAATAGTCATTGCAATTCACAGTCTTTAGCCTTCTGAACCTCTCCTGTAAGGCATCTGTATTAATAGGCAGCTAAATGGTGCAGTGGAGAGGGCAGTGGGCCTCCAGTCCAGAAGTCCTGAGTTCAAATCCAGCCTCAGGCACTTACTAGTTGGGTAACCCTGGGTAAGTCTCTTAACCTCAGTTTCCTCAACTATAACATGGAAAAGATAATAATAGTACTGGGGGCAGCTAGGTGCCACATTGGAGACAGCACTTCTTGATTTCAAATCCAGCCTTGGACACCTATTAGCTCTGTGACCCTAAGCAAGTCACTTAACCCTGTTTGCCTCAGTTTCCTCATCTATTAAATAATATGGAGAAGGAAATGGCAAACCACTCCAGTATCTCTGCCAAGAAAACACTAGATGGGGTCATGAAGAGTTGAACACTACTGAAAAATGACTGAATAATATCACCTACCTCTCAGGACTGCTGTGAGGACCAAATGAGATATTTGTCCAACAGTAAGATGCCTGGCATACAGTAGGGACTTATAAATGTTTATTTCTTTTCCTTATTGGATCACAGATGCAGAGCTACAAGGATGCCTGATCGAGGGTAGTCACTTAATAAATGTTTGTTGACTGAAGGATTTATAAGTGAGGAGGAAGTGCATTCCAGGCACGGGGAGGTGGCCAGTGAAAAGATACAGAGACAGGAGATGAAGAAGGGGTGGTGAGAGGGGAATGCAATGGGATGGGACACAAGTAGAGTCATCTGTCTATATTAGGCATGAGAATAGCTCTTCCCTTGAAAGAGATGGAAAAGAATAAAGGATGATTCTTAGAATTTCTGGGTGGTAGAGAACTTGAGAAGACCCCAGTTAACTGACATCAACTACCTAATGAACCCATCTGCCTCAGCCTGGGTATGAGCGCACAATCAGAGCCTGAGAAGACTCCAGCCAACCCTGTGGGGAATGAAAGAGTCTGCCATTAAGGCTCTCTCTTTTTCCTTTCTAAACCTACAGAACTGTTAAGAGCTACTCTCTGTTTCTTCTCAACTGCAACCCTGGGTGGCCTGAATTCCCAACCCCCTCTGCCTGGGATCATGGAGCAGCCCTGGATGGCTCATGTCTGCCAGGTACATTAGCACGTCAAGAAATTCCTCCTCAACCCACACGGCCTGCCCTGGAATGTCCAGACCACCTTCTTTCCCTAGGCCACATTTGCATATTTTAATCCCCACATTTTATGATTTGGCACCAATTTCCAGTGACTTTGGGTAAGGAGGGCTTCAGTACAGGACTTCTGGGGATTCTGAAGATAATATATCCCAGCTAAAGAAAGGACTGTGCCTATGAATTCCTAGAAATACCTAGAAAATGAAACCCTCTGATGAAAGCCACTGCCCAGTTCTGGAACAGGGGTATAACACTCTTTCAAAGGAAGTGGCCATCCCAGGCATTCTAGTCTTGGCTCCTGTTGACAGGTTATGGTAACTAATCAATCTGCCCTTCCTGGGAAAGATTTAATGCCCTGTGAACAACACAATGGATTTAATACTCTTAAGGGCTAAATTCTAACTCTGTTATTGGGATTTAATTTTCTGACTTTGATTTCTGAACCTTAAACAAATGGTTCTGTGTCTCAAAGTAACTTGAATGTAATACCACTGGAGGGTTAAAGTACTTTGAAATATAACAGGTATGTGGGTACACTAAATAATCAAAGGACTATATATTGTGTATGCACAAGAGAGCCTCACAAATTCAGGATTCAGTGCCTGGCACATAGCAGGTGCTTAATAAGTGCTTGCTGGTGACCGGTATATTTTGCACAGTGAGACATCTAGGTAGATGGTACATACATGGGGGGCTCATAATCCTTTATGTCATAACTGGGTACAGGAACATAGACAGACAGCTAGAAGGGACATCAGAGGTCATCTAAGTAAGGCAGCAGAAAGAGCACCTGGTTTGGGGATAGAGAACCTGAGTTCAAATCTCAGTTCTTCACTTACTTATTACCTGTGTGACTTTGAGCAAGTGACCTCCCCTCTCTGGACTTCAGTTTTCTCATCTGTTAAAATAAAGGGGTTTGGGGCAGCTAGGTGGCACAGTGGATAGAGCACCAGCTCTGGATTCAGGAGGACTTGAGTTCAAATCCAGCCTCTGACACATAACACTTACTAGCTGTGTGACCCTAGGCAAGTCACTTAACCCCCACTGTCTAGTCAAAAAAATTAAATAAAATAAAGGGGTTGGACTATATAATCTCTAAAGTCTCTTTCTGTTTAAGATCTATAATTCACCTCATTTTACAGATGAGGAAACTGTGATCCCAAGACGTGAAGTGGCTTGTCTGAGGTCACACAAATAATAAGAGGCAGAGCCAAGATTCTAACATAGGTATCCAGCAGGTTTCCCACTGTGCCATGCTGCAAGTAATAACTCAGTAAATAAACAAGAGTTCAATCAAATGAGATATTTGTAAAGCCCTGAGCACATTGCCTCTCACATAGCAAGACATCACCCTCCTGATGTCATCAGTAAATGTTTAACAACCAGCTCTTCTGGAAAAAATTCACTATCTACAAACACACTTAAGTTTTATATGCATTATTAACATTTTATCCATCACTTGCTTAAGTCTAAACAATCAAAGAAACAAGCAGTGATCTGTAGCATTTGCTAATTTCCAAGGTGTAAATGCTCAAAGGGAAAATTTAACAACCTGCTCTCAGTCTCAGTATGAGCTGGCTCCAGCACATCCCTGAGTGAAAGCCCTCAAGAGTTCATTCATTCTTAGGCTACATTAAAAATAGCAGTGTACAAAAAGAAGAAAGGAACAGTTCCACTGTACTCTCCACCCTAGTTTAGTCCCATTTGGAGTGATCCGTTCTGGACACCCTATTCAGAGAAGAGCAACTGAAATGTTGAGAAGTCCCAAACTCCTATAATATGAGGATTACTGGAAGTAACTGAAGATGTTTACCTTGGAGAAGAGAAGACTTAGGAGAAAAGATAGCTGTCCTTCAGTTATTTGAAGGGATGCCATACAGAAGAGGGATTAAATCTGTTTTCCTTAGCTTCTGAAGGCAAGGTATAGAAGTTCCAAAGAGGCAAATTTCTCTTCTATACCCCAGATTTCAATCTATGCCTGATGCTTTCTGTGGGTTACATATATGTGACTACCAAACGGTGGAGAGAAAGCTCTTGAACCAACATCATAAGTCATCTCACACAAAATACTCTAGGCTTGGCTTAGAATCGGGGTTATACCACAATACTGGGGTTACACCTTATCCTAGGAATGACAATTCTCTAACAGTGGAAGAGGACACCTCCGGAGTTCCCAAATATTCAGAGATCTTCAAGAGAAAGCTGTGTGACCACTCCTCTTATAGAAACATAATGGTATCATGAGAAATAGCTAGATTCAGAGTCAAGAAATCTAGATCCTAGTTTTAATTCAGCAGCTACTTAGATGTATGACCTTGGGTGAGGAAGGCATGCTGCCTCTCTTGTAATCCATTGCCTTACCAATAAAAAAGAAAGAGAGGGGATTCCTCAATCTCTAGTCCCTTTCACCTTTAACCATGCTAGGATTCCATACTCATCTTCACAATTTTGATTATTATTTTAAATGACCCTCACCGTCCTTTCATTCCTCACCCACATGCAGCACTGTTTAGAGGTCAGTTGAATGCCCAGCTTCAGTGTAAAATTCTAGATTACAAAAAAGAGCTCTAAGTCTTTCCATCCAAGCTCCACCTTGGTCAACAGCATCACCATCATCCTTTTCCCCCAGTAACTTTAGAACATTTAATGGTTTCCTTTTTTGCACCTACTATGTTCTCTAGGGGCAGCTAGGTGGCGCAGTAGATAGAGCAGTGGGCCTGGAGTCAGGAAGATGCAAATTCAAATCTGGTCTCAGACATTTAGTAGCTATGTGATCCTGGGCAAGTCACTTCACCCTGTTTGCCTCAGTTTCCTCAAGTGTAAAATGAGCTGGAGAAGGAAATGGCAAACCCCTCCAGCATCTTTGCCAAGAAAACCCCTAAATGTGATCATGAAAAGTCAGGTATGTCTAAACAACATGTCCCCTCAATGACCAAGTCCTTCCACTTTTTTCTTGGCAGAATCTCTTGCTCTACCTTAATCGTTCCATCTCCAGCTTCAGGAACTTATCCACACTTGGCTAGCTCAAGGTTGGCTTAACTGGCCTTCTTTCTGCTCCTCACACATGGTCCTCCATCCGCCATCTCTTTGCCTCTGCAGTGGCCATCCGCTATGCCTGCTATGCTCTCCCTCCTCCCATCTACATCCAAGAATCCCTCATACTTCCTTTAAGACGTAGCCCAAGCACCACTTCTACTCAATGCCTTTCTTGAGTCTCCCAACTGCTCCTGCCTTCCCTCTAGTCATTCTGATCTATATCTGGCCACTGGACCCACATGGCTCCAGAGGAGAAAGTGAGTCCGGAGACTTTGCACAGCCCTCCCTCATTTAAATCCAATTCACTTGCATGTTTTGGCATCACCTTCCTGATGTCATGGTCATCTTCGAGAATGAATGACAAGTAACAATAACAACACCTTGAAACTAACTACCTTGTGTTTCCTTTGCATGTATTCTGCACATATTTGTGCTGTATAGCCTCATCTGTCCATGTTGTCTTCCCTGTTAGGATACAAGCTCCTTAAGATCAGGAGCTATCCCCCTTGATCCTCAGCATCCAGCTCAACGTCTGGAACATGGCAGATGCTTATTACACGGTTGTTAATTGATTTGTAGCTTTCTCATGAAACTCCCTGCTTAACTCGGACCCACTTTTCTCACACACAAAAAACAGCTGAGAAAACCCTAATGCTGACCACCACCAGGTAATCACCTAGATACCTGCCCTTGAATTTCCCCCAGAATATTCTCTCCTTGCCCAAATATTGTTTCCTAGAACATAGAGAACTGTATCAATTCGGCTCAGTTCAATGAACATTTTACTATGTTTAGAGCAATGTGTTCTAGGCACAAAAGAGAATAAAAAGATGATTCATCCTTCATAATATATTTCTCATCTGTCCCCTTCTTCTCTCTTATGCTGTTACCAAACTGGTTCAGGACTTCATTACCTCTCTCCTGAATTATCAAAACAATATCCTACTGGGTCTTCCTATTTCGACTCTGACTCCCCTCCAATCCATTCTACAAATTAATCTCACTAATAATGTAATACTCTGACCAAGGCACTTTCTCACTTAAAAATTTTCACTTGTTCCCTATTACCTACCACATACAAACAAAAAATCCTTAGCCTGGCACTCAGGGCCCTCCACAGTTATAGTCATAGCTAACATGTGGCTTAATAATCTACCTTTCCAACCTTATTTCTCATCATTCCCTTTCACATATTCAAAATACTAGCCAAACAGGGACTCCTTATCATTCCTCAATCTCATCCTGCCCTCTCCTGTTCCCATGCATCTGCACACACCACCCCCATGCCCTAAAACAGAGTCTTCCTACATCTCCACTTGTTGAAATCTTTTTCTACCTTCAAGACCCAGTGCAGGAACTATCTTCTCTATGGAGCCTTCCTTGATTATCCCCAGAGATCTCAATCTCAGATAACTTGCATTGCTCATCCCTCACCTACCAATATGTCAACATCCTGCAATCATGGACTGTGTTGTTTGTCATCTCTCTCTAGAACTTAGGACAGTGCCTTGCCTACTTTTTGTGGGGAGACTAGATCTGTGATCTCCCTGGTATAGAGGACTGCTAGTAAAAAAAAAATCTCTACTAAAGCCAATCCATATCTACTCTAGACAACTGTCTGGGGCGCTCAGAGGCTAAATGATATCTGGGTTCAGATGGCCCGTATGTATTGGAGGTGAGATCTGAACCCAGGTCTTCTTCACATTCATTCTATCCACTACACCAGGCTTCCTTGAAAATAATAATTATGTAATAAATATCTGCTAAACTATTTATTGTTGAAGAAGACATAATGGGTATTTGCTTTCAAGGACTTTACAATCTTTGTGGCAGAAGTCACAAACCCTTTTAGATTTTTATAGCCTTTGGAGGGTTTTAGATTTTCATAACCTTAGTTAAGGGAATGATACAAATATCAGGCAGCTTGTGAGAATGCATGAAAGGCACAAATTACTGCGAGCATTCAAAAGAGGAAGGGATTATTTCTGACTGAAATCTGGGATGTTTCATCAAAGTGGAATGGATGTTGAAATTTGAAGGATGAATAGGATTTCAGCAAAAAGAAAGAGACTTGGGGAGAGAAAATGCCAGGCAGAGGAAACGACCTAAGCCAAAGACTAGGAAGAGAGAGGGAAAAGTTTAGGGAGAATCGAATGAAATAAGACTGTAAAAGTAGTTTGGAAATAGCATGAAGAGCCTTTAATACCAGGTTAAGGAATTCAGAGTGTCACCCATAAGCAGTGAGAAATCATAAAAGGTTTTTGAGTGTCAGGGAGTGGAAAGTGCTGATTTAAGATTACTTGGGCAGCAGTCCACAGATTAAAGAGAAGAGATGATGAAGGCAGGGACACCCAATTAGAGGTTATTCTTTTTTTTTTTTTGCTTTTTAGTGAGGCAATTGGGGTTAAGTGACTCGCCCAGGGTCACACAGCTAGTAAGTGTCATGTGTATGAAGCCGAATTTGAACTCGAGTCCTCCTGACTCCAAGGCCAGAACTCTATCCACTGCCCCCAAATGAGAGGTTATTCTAATGAGGTTATATGAATCTGAACTTGGGTGGTAATGGAAAGCAAGAGACAATTTATTTTCATATTATTATATAAGATTCAGCAAAAGCTACTTTTTTTTCAGATTTTCATGACCTTGGAACTCTAACAGGTCAGAGAAGGCCTTCCCACCCCCAACTCTCTGAAGCTCAACACTGATTTAAGTTACAGCTCTCTGTCCACCAACGATCAATGGGAAATGAACAACAAACCTGGAAACTGTGTCTGCTTATTTAAAAAGTGGAAATGATAATGTAATAACAAGAGTAAATAAGAGGGCATTGTCATCACGAAGTCTATAAAAAAGCAAGTTGTTGAGTGATAATAATGTCAGTGTTTCTTTAGCAAGGCCTCAGGGAGAGACAGCCAGTCACTCAAAAGATGTGTGCTCCATAGTAGGAAAAGAAAACAAAAACCAAAAACCTTTCACGACAATGAAACATACTTTTGGGCAACTCTCCCTCAGTACTACTCAGCTATTCCATGTCCACTCCACAACCTCCTAATGCCTAATTAGATTTCCAGATACCTCAACGTAAGCTAGCATGTTCCCTAATTAGGAGTCATGATGATCTAGTCTCTGGAAACATATTATTTTCTTAGTGTGAATGAATCCGTGCGCTCTCTGGTCTTAATAAGTCTTGTTTGAGTTTGAGTATTGTAAGATGGTTATTTCACAGTCTGATCAGATGCAAATGGACCAGTTCAAAGGTCTCAACTTTCACGGCTGAAAGATCAGCCTATGGCCTGTGGTGACCCCACTCTGGTACAGCCCCAAGGAAGGGTAGCCCCAAAAACCTTTTTGGCCACCATTACTTGTCATGACAGCCCCGAATGCAGAAACAAAGTGCTTAAAAAAAATTCTGTTTACTTGAAGTTATAGTTGAAGGTTTAGACTACTCAGAAAATTTATCTCCTTGATCAGCATTTCCACCACAGAAAGTAACCAGAACCTTATAAAAGGTTTTTACCTTCTATGGACAGCCTAAGATATTGTTCAGTCAAAGGCTAGACAACTATTTCTGGACTTAGAGGACTGAGGTTCAAATTCTGGTTGTGTATGTGATTCCAGACAACTCTCTTGGCCCTTCCGGGCCTCAGTTTCCTCATCTGTTAAATGCATAGGTAGTATGAAATGACCTCTAACATCCCTCCCAGTTCTAATATATGAGCTTCTAGCAGAAACACATCTTAAGATATCACATAACTTTTCAGGGTTTGGGGTTTGGGTTTGGGGTTGTTTTTTTTTTTAAAGGAAAAGACTGGCAACTCCACAGCTGCACACATCTGCAAATGCTGAACATATGACACAGAAATGACCTAGGAATTTTACCGAGTTTTCGTTGTGTGTGGCCTGTCTATGTCAGGAAGGATTCTTTGACTGGCAACTGAAACTGAGAGAAACTAAGGGAGGGAAGCATCATGTTCATCTCTCCCACCGAGAAACAAAACTAACTAAAACCAAAAGCCAATTAAAATGTATATTTAAATATATTTTCAAAATATATTTAAATTAAATATATTTTATGCTTAAATATATTTTCAAAATGTATTTAAATTAAATATATTTTATGTTTAAATATATTTCCAAATGTATTTAAATTAAATATATTTTATGTTTAAATATATTTTCAAAATGTATTTAAAATATATTTAAATTGAATATATTTTATATTTAAATGTATTTTCAAAATATATTTTTAATCTTGACATAAAGATGGGAATGAGAAGAACTGAATTAATCCATATTGACAGTTTCTTTATTCCATTTATTAAGCATAAAAGTTTTTTTAAATTATTAGGTACAAAATAAAATTACTGGGGCAGCTAGGTGGCACAGTGGATAGAGAACGGGCCCTGAAGTCAGAAGGACTTCAGTTCAAATCTGGCCTCAGACCAAACACTTGACACTTACTAGATGTGCGACCCTGGGCAAGTCACTTAACCCTAATTGCCTAAAAAAAGTGGGGGGGGAGACAGGGAAAAATCCAACAAAATAAAATTATTGTTAATAAAAAAAATCAAGGTGTTGAGGGATCTAGCATCCGTAAATAAGACAAAGGGACTCAAGGGGTGAGGGCATGGTTCAGAGCACAGACCACTGGGATAGAGTCTTGAGTTGGGTGCTGCTCTACCAGTTCCTCCCTGGGTAACATCACCTAAGCTTTCTGGTCTTTCGTTTTCTCATTTGTAAAATGAGAAAGATGGACCAGGCAAAACTCCCAGGAATGCGGTACAAACCACATTTAAACGTTAATTGGGAAATGTTGAACAAAATAAAATTTTTAAATAGTACAATATAGATAATGTTAATTTGTGGTTTTCTAAGTCAATAATAGCTGGCAGGATAGGGTTTCTATCTGAGCTTACATCCCTAACCTAGCTCTTAATCTAGAACCTTAATGTGCTCACAGGAGATGAGGCGCTGGATAGAAGCAGGTCCTGATCTTAAAGGGCTATAAAAATGCTAGCTAACATTATTATTATACAAATAACCACAACATTTTGGTATGTAATATTATAACAGAAGATAATACGGATCTGGAAGTTGTCTATATAAATAGTGACATTTGCAGCCATAGAAACAGGTATAATTACCTACCAATGGAAAATGTAGAAAGGGAAGGGAAGAGAGCATACAAGCCCTGGACCTGGAGTCAGAAAGACCCGAGTTCAAATCTTGCCTCGGATACTTAGTTGTGTGACCCTGGGCAAATTCCTTAACCTCTCTCAGTCTCAGTTTCTTCATCTATAAAATGGGGATAATAATAGCACCCACTTCACAGGGCTGTCATGAGGACCAAATGAGATAGTACACTGTAAAGCACTTTGCAAACTTTATTCATTATTTTTCAATTTTAACATGGGGTGGAGGGAGAGAGAAAAAGACCCAAAATGGAGCTTTCAGATGCTACATGTTCTCAGAAGAACAATATGAGACGCTACCTGGGGACGGCTGCTTACAAGTTATTCTGTACTCTGCTCTTCCATGCTAGGCAAGGTTTTCTAACTTGACTTATGCTCCCAACCCCTGCCTCACCAGTCATCTACATTACAAGCAAATGGACGGAGAGGTCCTTTCAAAGCTCCATCCTTCACTTATGGAGCTGTTCACAAGACAGCACCCAAGAAGACCAGGAGAGATGAGAGCTCAGCACTATGGAACCTAAGGAGGACGAGGAGGCTGGGGGGGCCGTATGTTTCCCATTTCATCAACAGTCCTATTGTGCACGTCCATTGCCTTTCACATATTCAGCATTTCATTTTACCAATAATAGCATTAGGCTTATTTGAGATAAGCAAATGCCATCTAATTCCTCTTCTGTTCTAACTTGGAGATTCATTTAAATGTAATCAGGCAGAATTATTAATACCAGGTAAGGCTTATCTAATACCATCCTTTCAAAGAGTTCAAAGCGCCTCGGGTATGAGAAATCTCATTATAAGATTCATTCAAAACCCATTTTTGAAGTCTCTGCCAAGAGATAATGAAACATTGCTACCTCCACGAAACATTCTCAGATCTAGGGTGCTCATACCCTCTGAAAACACGTAAGACTCTTTTTTCTTTCTTTAAGAAATGGCAGCTTAAATTAGTGGAAAGAAAGCTGATCTTAGAGTCAGAAGAGACGGAGTTCTAGTTTTGGATTAATCATTTGTTACCCACTGAACCTCAGGCTAGGTCCACTGTCAATGCAACCTAGACATTCTTCATCTGCAAAATGGGAACATTAATACTTCCTGTATTTCACAGGGTTTTTGAAGTACTTTAATCATAAAGTGCCACATAAATGTAAACTACTAAGCCTTAGATGTTCTGGGCTCCTGAGGAAACTGAGGCAGAGGAGTGAAGAACTTCATTATGTAAACAGAATGACTTAATAATAACAACTCTCTGATTGATTCTCCAGACTGCTTCACCTGTGCTCTGACCATAAAACCATCTGGCCTGACTTCATTGTATCAAAGTAGGGGTTTTTAGTAAAAGGAAGAAAACAGAAGTACTTAAGTCTATTTTTGCACACTGAGGCCATTGTAGTCTGCCTTCCTGTGTTTCTTAGTCATCATTTTCAATGACAACTGCCATACTTTCCAAGGTCTCCCACATGTAGGAGCAGAGTTGGGGATTTAGTGTCAGGAAAAGCTGACGTGCTAGATGGGTGACTTTGGAGAAGTCAATCAATAAGTATATATTGAAAAACTGCTACGTAACAAACACCATACTAGGCACTGGAGATACAATGACAAAAAGAATAATAATGATTGTTGTTGTTCAGCCATTTCAGCCATGACCCCATTTTGGAGTTTTCTTGCAAAGACTCTGGAGTGTTTTGCCATTTCCTTCTCCAGGTCATTTGATAGATGAGGAAACGGAGGCAAACAGAGTTAAGTGACTTGCCCAGGGTCACAAGCTAGTAAGTGTCCGAGGCTGGATTTCAATTCAAGAAGATGAGTCTTCCTCACTCCAGGCCCAGCACCTAGCTGCCCAATACTAATAATGATAACTAACATTTATATAGTGCTTACTATGTGCCCAGTATTGTGCCAAGTGCTTTACAATTAATATCTCATTTGATCTCATAACCCTGGGAGGCAAGTGGGTACTCTCATTATCTTTATTTTACAGATGAGGAAACTGAGGCAAAAAGGAGATTAAGGACCGGCCTAGTGCTAATAATAATAGGTAACAATTCTACAGCACTTCCTATGTGCCAGGCACTATGCTAATCACTTTACAACTATTGACTTATTTGCTACTCACAACAACCCTTGGTGTTGGGTATTCTTATTATGAAACTGTCCAGAGTCACATAGCTAGTAAGTGTCTGAGCCTGTATTTGAACTCAGATCTTCCTGATTCCAGGCCCAGCTCTCTCTATCCAGTGAGATAAAGTCTGTAATGTACCTTGCAAACCTTAAAAGGTTATATAAATGTCAATTATAATATTGTTAGTAGTGGTAATAATAACTACAGGGAAAGATGCCACATCAGTTTCCTAAACTCAATACTGGCGAAGTGCCCCCAGTTGATCAATGCTACCAAGATGGAAAGGCACCAGATCTGGCCCTGGCAACATATTATACGCCTATTGTGCAAGAATCACATAGCTAACTTCAGAAAAGCTCACGTCCAAAAGGTCAGCACCA